AGGACAAGAAGACCTGGCTTGCAGTCTCCACTCTAATTCATCCCAAAGGTGTTATATCCAGTTGAAGTCAGGACTTTGTGCTCCACTCCAAATTCGCTCATCCATGTCTTTATGTACCTTGCTTTGTGCACTGGTGCGCAGTCAGGTTGGAACAGGAAGGGTCATCCCCAAACTGTTCCCACAAAGTTGGGAGCATGAAATTGTACAAAATGTCTTGGTATGCTGACACTGGAACTAAGGGGCCAGGCCCAACCCTGGGAAAAAACCCACATCATAATCCCCCTCCACCAAACTTTACACTTGGCACAATGCAGTCAGGCAAGTGCCATTCTCCTGGCAACCGCCAAACCTTGACACATCCATTGGAATACCGGACATAGAAGCTTGATTCCACCACTGCATCCGACGCTTTACATTGCACTTGGTGATGTAAGGCTTGGATGCAGCTGCTCAGTCATGAAAACCCATTCCATGAAGCTTTCTATGCGCTATTGTTGTGCTAATCTAAAGGCAACACAAAGTTTGGAGGTCTTTAGCTATTGACTCTGCAGACAGTTGGTGACTTGCGCTGACCCCGCTCATTTTACGTGGCCTACCACTTCATGGCTCAGTTGCTGTTGTTCCCAGTTACTTCCACTTTGTTATAATGCCACTAACAACTGACTGGAATATTTAGTGGCAAGTAAATTTCAAGGATGGACTTGTAGCACAGGTGGCAACCTATCACGGTACCACACTTGAATTCATTGAGCTCCTGAGAGCGACTCATTCTTTCACAAATGTTTGTAGAAGCAGTCTGCACGCCTAGGTGCTTGATTTTATACACCAGTGGCCATGGAGGTGATTGGAACACCTGAATCCAATGTTGTGGAGGTGCATCCCAAAACTTGGCAGTGTGTGTGTGTATATATATATATATATATATATATATATATATATATATATATATATCATAATCAGTGAAACAAGTAATGAAAGCAAATCTTAAGGTCTAGTCAGAACTTTAATTGAACTCAAGTTAAAAAAAATTGAATCTGTATAGATAAGAATGAAAAGAACATGTAAGCAGGTTCTTACTGAGATAATACTATGTGGATTATGTTTATTACTTAATGGGTTAAGTGTGTTCTCTGGCTGGGTACGTTGTACTAATTAGTTAATGTTGTCCATCAGGGGTGGTGCTGTTTGGTAGGCACGTTTAACACTGTTAGCCAGATTTTTCCGGGCATCTCCCAGCTGGTCCACCCTCTACTGGACCAATCATATAAAAAGGGGAACTCTATCTAGGTCAGGTTGTTGGTTACTCTCTGCATGGGAAGGAGAGTGCTGCTGAGAATGTAATCTCCACTTTGCTACTTCACCACCCCTATTTGTGAGCCCCACCAGGGTTCCTAACAATATGGACTTGGTTGCTACATGGACTAAAAGACTTTCATATCTGATTAGGGTATGACTACCTCATGGGACAAAAGGGAGTGCCAGGAATGCACTAAAAAGGCACTTAGAGGACTTTGGATAGCAATGTGTATAGAAGATGATTCTGAGAACTGGTCATTTTCACTTCAAAAAAGAACTTTGTTGTTAAATCAGTCTGGTCTGATGTCACTAAACGGGTGCATGCATGACAGGTCCTAGAAGAGAGGTCAGTGTAGACACATTGCAAGGGTCTAACCTGAAGTAAAAGGGGAAGAGGCTATACTGCCATTGCTAGGGGTAACCAAATGAATGTCGGGTGCTGAAGCAACCAGCCAGCAGGACTTGTGGTGATGTGAAACTGGTGATGGAAGTCCCTGATAGTGAGGGGGTTTACCAGCTTAGCCCCTTCCCGGCACATACAGTGATGGACATCATGGCATGGGGTATCCCATGTACCTAGCCTGAGATGTCGCAGAAGAGGAGTAGAGAAAATTGGAGGCCTCAAGAGTGGAGAAGTTCTGGATTATGCAAACGGATGATCTCTTGTTTCAGGGAGAAGCCTTGTAATATCACTGAAAGTGAGGTAACATGTCGGGCTGTGCTGGTAAGTGTGGTGCAGGCTCAGCAGTACCCACTCAGAATTGCAGAATTCATTAGGAGTCACAGGGCAGCCCAATATGAGGTGTGTACAATTAAGAAGAGGAGCGTACAGAAAGGGTTAACTGCGCAAGCATAGAATGCTGGGTTTTAAGTTGGAATGCCACCTTAACAATGATTTCACATGACAACAGCCTCTGCCTGTGAGTACAGGCATTAGCGAGTACTACAAGTATGTCCCCACTTGGACATGTTAAGCCCCGCCCACAAACATATGTAATAAATATGGTGAACAGCAATAAAAAAGAATAATATTGTAAAACAAAAGGATCTCTACCTGTATAGGTTAATTCTTAACTAGTTGTGCCTGAGTTATTTGCAGTGGCAGCAGCAGCAGCAGCAGCAACCAGTTATTCCAGGTTATTAACCAAATATTATGAAATAAAATTAATCGGAAAATAATTTATGACAAATGCAATGACACATTAAATGTATATGAAACCAAGTAAAGATGATACATCTAATTATAAACATGACTGCTGTGAAGGTAAGTGATTGCAGGAAGAATAACTGACTACTACAACATACTAATGAATATAATAAGGTATAGATACTGTATACTAAATAAAATTAATGGGCAACAATATTGACATGACTGCTGTGTAAGCATGAGCTAAACTTCCCTGGGTTTGGTTCAAGCAGGGCTTGGCAAACTTCAAAGAAGACTGAATGCTGAACCCAAAGCCCATTAAAATCAACGAAAGCTAAATCTGTCATAACAAACATGCCCATTTTTGGGAGGTAATAGACAAAAAAAATACAATAGGGGAAGGGGGTGGCAAAAGGCAAAAATGTTTTTTTTTTTTTAAATTAACAGTAATTTGTTTAAATATTTGGAGGTCTTTGTGTTTTTTTTTTTCTTGGCCCTAGAGCTCCATGCTGCTATCATTCAAATGCATCCAGACATTTGGGGCCAAGAACTTTGGGGCTGGCAAACATTACCCCGTCCGATTAGTCTAACACTCTCTCAGGCTTTACAGCCATATCAAATCTTCAGGTCACTGAAGTTAAATACAAAACCTTAAACTTAATTTTGAACCCGCATCTTCTTCACCAGATTTTCAAGAACTGCAATTTTACCTAGCCCAACTCAGTTCTTTACTTATGTATTAATCTCAGCCCATCTTATCCCCATCTCCTCAAAGAACTGTCTAACCTTCTTGTCTCTTGGGATACTCTCCAGCTATCTTGGATCGATAGGATTCATGCAATAAAAATAACTTATTTACCTAAACTGTTATATTATTTTAGGTTTCCTCCCAATTCCAATCCGCAGTCATATAATGTGCGCTGAACAAATGAAAATAGTGAAATTTATTTGGCATCATCGTCTGCAGTAACCACCGTATTATATTGTCTCAGGATAGTGGGTGGCATTGCTGTACTGAATCTGAAAAAGTATTATACTGCAACCCAAATCACACAGCTAGCATCATTACATAGAGTACCTCCCTTGAAATGTTCCTTTGGACCCAGGTTATAATTACTGAATTAACTCCATCCCCTATCTTTACCTTAATTTGGCTACCTCTTCACCAAAGACCCCCAATAACAGATCCTGCTATGCAATATTCCTTAAAACAATGGGGCCTCATGAAATATTCTATCAAATTAATCTCACCTCACATCCAACATGCTCAGCATCTCTACATAATCCTTTTTTCCCTCTCCCCATATGAGAACCCACAAGCTTTTTGATGGTGGCATATAAAAGGTGTTAAAGATGTATATGACCTCTTATCAATTGACGGCATAAAATCTCTTCTAAATCTCAGAGATCACTGAAAGCTGCCCCATAAGTCAACATTCTGTTACATTAACATCTTCATCAAACATCACACAGACTGTCCGATAATTTTGTAAAATGTCCTGTTTTATCTGCTAATAATGATTTTAGTGTATTTTCGGTGTAAATATTGCTTTGATAAACATTTGTGCATATATCGTGGGCCTTAAAAATCAGTAGCTCTTTTTTTTTATTCTACTGGTCATGTGCTTTCAGAAAATATATGGTTTGGGGGTCTTTTACAAACTCTGAAAGCTGTAAGGGAAATTAAAAAAGCAATGAAAAATTGCAAAAATGGTCTGGCCAGCTCAGTTTAAAAGTAGAGCACAGGGCCTGGGAGCAAAAGGGTTAAACTGTATAATATTTTTTACTGTGAAAATTTATTTTTCTTTAGCATATCCTATGGCAAGAATGAAAAAAAATGTGCAGATCTCACTGACACACATACACAAGCATTCCAGACCCTAGGAGTCTGGTGTGGATTTTTAGGAAGCAGCCATTGATGTATACATCCACATCAGACTCTTAACCTGAATATGTAACCTAGCTGGCCAGGAAGAGGGGGGGGGGCTCTTCTGAGCCATGCCAGGCCATATGCCCTTCTTATAGGGAGGGGTGCCTTGCCCTGGCACAGCACCTTGTCCCCACATTGATGAGTACAAGAGTTTTTTCTTCACAATCCTTGCCCGGTTATGGGGGTCAGAAGTCAGTGGGTTTATCGGAATCCTGCTACTCATTCACAAAAAAAAAAACAAAAACAAATAACCTAGAATTAAAGACATCCAAACCTTATTCAATCAGTGCAACACAAATCAAAATCATAATAATGCTATAAATTGTTGCTGCTAAAACCGTGTAGTGATTTCACTGCACCTGTAACCAAATATATACCAATATGGTGTAGAGCAACAAACATATACACTCATATATGAAAAAAGAGAAAAAAAAACTTAAACAAATTAAATCCCATAAGAAAGTACTGTATATTATAACACCATTGTGCAATGTTGTCAGGACCTGTTGGATTACTAGAGTCACCTGCTGGTGGCACTGTTGCTCCTGGAATTGAAGGGTGAAGTTCCAGTGGCCATCAGCGGGTGTCTCTTAGCGGGTTGACTGTACAGATAATTAGGCTACACCTGATGTTGACTGCTGGGAGGTATACAAGCCCACCCACAACTGAGGTTCAGGGCTTCAGTATTTTCCTGCAAGCTGTGTCACTGCCTGAGCCTTGTTCCTGATCCTTGTACCTGACCCTGAGACCTGCTTCTGTGACGTGCTTTCTGTATCCTGCTTCTTGCTCTCAAGTACCTTGCTTCCTGCACCCCTTGTCTCCTGTCCCTGTCCTGACCTTGTCCCGCAATGTGTACTCCCTCCATTTTGTATATAATTAGGTTTGTATTGGGGTTTTGCACCTTTATTTTGTCCCTTGCATTGTTTATGGTTTACTGGTGTTGGTGTTGGAAGTGTGTCATTTGTCTCAACAAACTTATTTTAACCTTATTCAGTTTGGTTCCTAATTCCTTCAGGTACAGCCTACTGATCTGATCACTTGTTGGATGCCTGCATCCCTGACATAATACTGAAGTAATTAACGATTAGATGGGCTGCACCTGGGAATTGGGTCTCAGCATTAGCTATTGCTTCAAGATGCACTTAGAGGAGGTTTTGTACTTTGTACTGCTTGTAAGAGAAGACAGGGATATTGCCGCCAAATTTTAAAAGAGCAGACTAGGGAACAGTTTTTGGAATGCATTCGGCTGGCTCTCTTTCTTGTTGATCAGGGCAGAGTTTTGTTTGGAGAAATTCAGCCACTTATTCAGATCTGTGCAGATTTGACTTTGTCTAGCATTCCTAAGGGTGGTAATTATTACTCTCCCCCTTTTAGTGTGTCTCAGGTGGAATCTCTGGTGTGGCTATTGGAAGATGATAAACCCTATTTCAAACAACATTATTTATTTGGTATATTCATAAGAGGCTCTGCTGGACTGTATCAATGCAGTACACTCTTTAGTCAGACAAGGAAATTGTAAATTGAGATTTGTTCTGCTGCTACTCCAAGCCTGGTCAGATACATTATATTGCCAAAAGTATTGGGACACCCTTCCAATTCACTGGATTCAGGTGTTCTAGTCACCTCCATGGCCACAGGTGTATAAAATCAAGCACTTATTCATGCAGATTGCTTCTACAAACATTTGTGGATGAATGGGTCGCTCTCAGGAGCTCAGTGAATTCAAGCATGGTACCATGATAGGTTGCCACTTGTGCAATAGGTCCATCCGTGAAATCTCCTTGCAATTAAATATTCCACGGTCAAATGTTAGTGGTATAGTAACAAAGTGGAAGTAACTGGTAACGACAGCAACTCAGCCACAAAGTGGTAGGCAATGTAAAATGACAGAGCGGGGTTGGCACATGATGAAGTGCACAGTGCGCAGAAGTCGCCAACTGTCTTCAGAGTTAATAGCTAAAGACCTCCAAACTTTGTGTGGCCTTCAGATTAGCACAGAGCGTAGAGAGCTTTATGGAATGGGTTTCCATGGCCGAGCAGCTGCATCCAAGCCTTATATCACCAAGTGCAATGCAAAGCGTTGGATGCAGTTGTGTAAAGCATGCTGTCACTGCACTCTAGAGCAGTGGAGACGTGTTCTCTGAGGTGATGAATCATGCTTCCCTGTCTGGCAATCCAATGGACATATCTGGGTTTGGCGGTTGCTAGGAGAACAGTACTTGCCTGACTGCATTGTATTAAGTGTAAAGTTTGGTGGAGGGGGGATTATGGTGTGGGGTTGTTTTGGAGGGGTTGGGGTTGGGCTTGGCCCCTTAGTTCCAGTGAAGGAAACTCTTGTGGTATCAGAATACCAAGACATTTTGGACAATTTCATGCTCCCAACTTTATGGGAACAGTTTGGGGATGGCCCCTTCATATTCCAACATGACTGTGCACCAGTGCACAAAGCAAGGTCCTGCTTCTGGACACCAGGTTGCTCAGAGATCCCTCGCTCCATTACCCGTAGCCACCACTGCGGCAGTTCAGTATATTTTGCTTCCAACTGTATGTCAGTATCCTGTCTTCACTTTCTGCACATATCCTGTATTTAATTGAGTGAAAACCCCCTCTATTACTCCATTGTTCCTAGCAACCCCTCAGAAATCCTCTGCTACTGCTCCTCCTTTTCTACCATCTCCTAGTACTGTTGCTACTCCGCCACCTGATGCACAATCTGTTTATAGACCTACAACCACTTGCAGGACTCCTGTGTCTAGACCTAAAAAGAAAAGGAATTTTTTTCAACTCGTACAATTCTTCCCCTGTTCTCTCCTGCCTCCATTCCAGCTGCCCTGTTCCTGCCTACCATGGTGCCAGCTGCTCCGGTCCAGCCAACCACAACACCACCTGCTCTGGTCAAGCCTACCACCATGCCAGCTGCTCCAATGAAGCCTGCCACCATGCCTGTCACTACCTCAACCATGGGCCAGTCTACTCCTGACCTATCCTCAGTCCTGCAGTCTGCCTTTTCATATTTGGGACTCTCAGCAACCAGGTCTCACCCTATGGCAATTACATCTGTTCAATCCTGTCTTAGGAGTTCTATCCATCCTTTGGACAGACTGCCTCATTCAGTCAAGTGGGGGCCTTGTCCTTTTCTTCAAAACACCATGCATCCAGCCCGCGTTCCAGCAACTCAGCTTGACCATGCTGCCCACTAACGGGGTAGTCCCGATGGGTGCTTGCTGAATGGGTTCAGTCTGCTGCTGGTGCCCTGCTGTCCGCTGCAAAATCTTCCTCTGGTGCTATCCTATGCCAAGCTTGTCTCTCATGCTCCTTTGCCTGTTACCCAGCTTGGTGATCCTGTGTCTGCTGTCCAACCTGAGGTTCCTGCTCCTACTGTTCAGCCTGAGGGTCCCGCACCTGATGCCCAGCTTGAGGGTCCTGCTCCTGATGCCCAGCCTGAGGGTCCTGCTCCTGATGCCCAGCCTGGTGGTCCTGTTCCTGATGTCCAGCCTGGTGGTCCTGTTCCTAATGCCCAACTAGGGGGTCCTGTTCCTAATACCCAACTTGGGGGTCCTTTCTTTGATACCCAACCGGATGGTCTCATGCCCCATGACCCACCTGCCTCTGACAGTCCTGTGTCCAGCAACATGCTTGCCTCTGAGGATCTCAGAGATTCTTGTACTTTCTAGACATCAGCTGCAGATTTATTGTTTGGTAGGTTTGGCAAACAGATGAACTAAACTGCCAGTTACAGCAGGAAGTGAAACATTTATGCCAGGCAAATATGTATCAAAATTCAGGAACCGTCTGAATTTCGATCCATGTATGGGCAGGGTGGTTGTACAGAAGTCAATCTACCACTCAACATCTGTACAACTGCCCTGTAGAATTGTTTCGTCTTGATCAGCACTGCTAACTATAACTGGCAGTGCTGATCAGTGTATTCTGTATCGTGGGAAGTCTCAGTGCTGTCAGATTACAAAGGCTCAGCGGGTAGGATTCCTCCATCTCCCTTGAATGCATGAATGGGGGAATCAAGTCCTTATTTTTCTTTAACCTGCTGATTGAATGAAAAAAAATGATTAATGCTTGGGCTGCTTTAGAAGCAATATTAATATCACTGCTAAATGTGACAACTTCCTAGTACAGGGCTTCTGGTTGTTAGGGAACCAGCACCCACTGTCCTAACAATCAGTGACTCATTCCCACCCTGCACAGCTGTCAGATGGGGATTTCTGGCTGATAGATGAAGGTACACAAAACAACATGGGGTTACCCCTAAATGCCATACCAGACCCGTTCAGATTTTAAGGTGGAACCCCATGCAAAAAAAAAAATCAATACCAGGTACTTATCTGATCATGCAGCCCAGCTGGCCAAGAAAGCATGGGGACAAGCAACATGCAGCCCCCCAAACCATACCAGATCCTATGCACTTAACATGGGGGGAACCAAACAACCCTGGTCCTGTGGAGGTTTATCAGAATCTAGAAGCCCCTTTACCAGATACCAGCCCTCCTATGTGAATGACTAAGAGGTACAAAAAAGTCCCGTGATGGAAATCCACCATCATTCATGTGTTCCAGGGATACAGATCCATATTAATCATGACAAACAGCTTCCACTGAACTGCCAAAAGAAAAAAACCTACAGACCACTGACATGTCAGATTCTGTCACCTAACTCACACTAAATGACATCTCCTGGTCCTGCTGCTAAAGTAAACAAAAAGGTGTGGTCTCCAGGGTGATGTCAATGAGCAAATATGAACATGACCTCAGTGACATCACAGAGATCCCCATGTTGCGGGCATGTGGTAAAGGTTTGGTTTGGGTAAAACACGATTTTTCCTTGTTTTCTGCATGGGGTTGCCCTTACAATCCATACCAGTACCTAATATAACATTTGGGGGGGGGCTCTCTTAAAACACATACCAAACCAGAAGGTCTGACACATAGTCTGACACAGCTGGCAATCCCCAGATGACAGTTGAATGTGCCAGTCAAAGATGAGTCACTGCTTGTTAGACCACCTGTGGTTGCCCACTCTCTATCAGGAGCCCTAAACAGATTTGTCATATTTATCAGCGGTATTAATACCGCTGATAACTGTTTCACTTCTCATTGCAGCTGCAGGTTTTCTTAACAAAACACCCATTAGTTCATCCATTTGCCCCACCTTCTGAAAAATGGACAAGACTGCAGCTGATCCATTGAAAGCAAAGGAATCTCTGTACACAATGCAGAGGTCTCCCTCATTTTATTGGTATTATTTGGGACTTTTGTGCGAAGACAGCGTGAGCTGAAAAATGACTGTGCTGTTTGCCTGTGCTGCACTGCTATCAGTTATATTACTCAGGGGACTGCCAGAACCCACCCATCTATGTTATTATCAAGAGGACAGGAGGATTTCCCAGTAGTCCTGTCCCATTTTTGTTGTCCATATACAGTGAATGAGTGTTTTCATGCTAGAATCAGAAGTGATTAACCACAGACAAAAAATAAAATAGCCATCGCGCTGATCAGAATGACCCTCTGGGCACGCTGGTAACATTGAGTTCACTAAATATAGTTTGTCACTTAATTTGGCATTGCAGCTCTCTAAGTAATCTACTGGGTGGTGGCATTACATCTAAGTAAACAGTGTGATAGAATTTATTGCTAAAAAAAATATAAATTCTCAATCAATGCACTCACAAAGAATAGTGGAATGGTGGGCATTTATAGGAACTCAACCTTTGCTCCTGGGTAC